TTATAAACAACTATGTTGCATCTTCTCCATGTTAGCTTCTCTCCTATGTTACCTCCTTGTCTTACTGTGGAAGCCTTGCCTTTTCACTCCTCTTGTTTGGAAAGCTGGAAGTTTAGTTACCTTGCATTGCTGCACACTTCTGTGTCCTTGGCCAGGTATTGAGAATACAGAGAGACTGTTTTGTTTATTTAGACACAATATTTCTGACCCCAAATAGGTGGGGTTTTTCCTCATAACAATCAATTCTATAACTCTCTGGACACTAGCTGGGTGTCCTACAATTTAATTCAGTTCTGACACTATTTGCAGTTAGCTTAGACCCCTCAGGTTAAGGGGTCAGTCCTACAAGACTTAAGATGCTGGTCTGATGTCCTAGGTTGTCACCTGTGCTTTTTACCAACTAGCTATAAATTGGGAATTTACACAGCCTCTTCCTCAGGTTTGATAATTTGCTGTAATAATACAACAAAGGCAAACACTTTACTTAACATTCACTAATTGATCATAAAAAATAAAGGATACAAATGAACATCAAGGTGAAGAGGCATATGGAGCAAGGTCAGGAAGGGTCCTGAGCACAGGAGCTTCTGTCCCATAGAGTTAGAGCATGGCATTTTTCTGGCATGTGGATGTGTTTACCAATCCAGAAGTTCTCCAGACCCTGTTGCATAAGGGTTTTCATGGAGATTCCATTACATAGGTATAATTGGCTGTTAATGATTAACTCAATCTCTAGCTTCTCTTCTTTCCCCTGGAGTTGGGGATGGGACTGGAGGTTCCAACTCACTAATCATGTCTTGATTATTCTGGTGACCAGCCCCCATCCTGAAGCTATCTAGAGGTCCCCAGCCACCAGTCATTTCATTAGCATACAAAAAGACACTCTTATCACTCCGGAGATTCCAAGGATTTTAGAAACTCTTGTGTCAGGAACTGGGGTCAAAAACCAAATATGAGAACAAAAGATGCTCTTAGCATCTTGATCTATCAGGAAATAACAAGGGTTTTAAGAACTCTGTCAGTAACTGAGGCAGGGACCTAATGTATATTTCTTCTTATGTCACAGAGTAAAAAAGCAATGGGGATTTACCTATCATCTTGAGACCAATGTTTCATTGATTGGAGAATATTCCTTCTCTGATCAGTATTTTGGCTTCCTGCAGGCTTCCCATTTTTGCCCCTGCTACTGCAGCTGTACAAGTACTTGGGGGCTGGGGTGCAAAATAATGGAGTTAAAAATTGAAAAAACCTGAACAGACCCTGGGAGCTTTCTGTAGTGTTCCAAGTCTTGGAGCTCTGTTTTCTTATTGAGTCAGAAGTACAGGGCTTCTCCCAGGCTTTCTCTGTCGGCACCCCGAGGTGTAATCTGGGTATCAGACTTTGTTGATAAGGCAGAGGGATCATAGAAGAAAGGAAGATGCTAAAACCCATCATTGGTTTATAATAATTTGAATTCTGTTTTTCTTTGATCTTCCTGCTACTGTTTCCTTTAAAGAGTTCTCAAACAGTTGACTCCTGTATTCTGTTCAGGGTTCTTAGCTATATGCACTGGGATAGACAGAACGGAATATGCTTACTCTATTTTACCTAGAATTAGAAAGAACAGTATGGTGTTTGTAAAAAGTCACTTAAAAACGAGCCTGGGAAGGAATTTGATGTAGCTCAATGGGTGTTTATATCCTATCTATTATGCCATACATCTTATATTATGGGAGATGTTAGGTCAGGTAGCATTAGAGGAATTAGAAAAGAGGCTTCCATTGTTGACAGCACTACTTAAGCTTTGCCCGAGATTTGTGGGAGGAAACGAAGAGTCTTCACAATAATTGCTTGAAATGGCCTAATCACAGTGACCTATAGTAAGCTGCTGCTTGTGATAGATGGAGCGTTCCGCATATGAGCACTATTTTCTTCTCATAGGAGACTGTAATTCTGGGGAGAGGAAATCCTGGGACAAAATACCTCTAAAACCAAAATCAGTCAAAGGGAGAAATAAAGTTTAAATCCCGTTTATTGCTTAACAAACTGCAGGCTGAGGCCGGCTCTTTTCTGCTCATGCGGCAGCAAGCCCGCCTCTCAGGTTCAGGTAAGCCCTTAGTTGCCCATGTAATTACCCATTGGTATGGAGATGAACTTTGTCCACCCCTGAGGATTGCCTGTTGATATGCAGATGCGCTAAAGGCATACTTCTCTCCACCCCTGAGGATGCACTAAAGCCAGGCAAAGATACTCTGGAAATAGTACAGTTTTGCCCACAGAGATAAATATTATTTTTCCAGGTTGAAGCTCACTCATATTGTTTACTATGGCATTCAAGGTTCCTTTTAAGTTAGTTTTCCTTCTAATCCTTGTGGATAAAATTGTAATATTTCCAGAATATCTTGCCTGGGTTTAGTATGTCTGCATATCAATAGGTGTTCAGAGGTGGAAAGAAGTAAGGCTTTAGTGCATTTGCATTATTCTTCAGGGGCGGAGAGAAGTTCATTTCCATATCAATGGGTAATTACCTGGGCAAGAAGGGCATACACGTACCCGAGAGGTGAGGTGGGGGGGGCTGGTTTTGCTTCTGCTGGCACAGGAAAAAGAGAAGGCCCTGGACTGCAGTTTGTAAGCAATAAATGGATTTTAAACTTTATTTCTCCCTTTGACTGATTTTGGTTTTTAGAGGTATTTTGCCCTGGGATTTCCTTTCCCCGGACTTACATCTTTCAGTCATTCTCGTCCACTGTCCTCTCCCTTACATACCTCCTTATATACCTCACTTTCCAGCCATTCACAGATTTCTAAATAGGCTGGGGCTTTTCACAATTCTGTGATTTTGAGTGTGCTCTATCTCTGTTGGTGGTTCCCTTCTCACTTTCATCCACTGATTAGAAATCTAGTTTAACCTGTACACGCTCTTTATTACCATTAATTGCAATTGGTAAAGTCAGTCTTTTGCACTAGACTGAACTTCTGGAGGGGAAGGGACTGCGATTTGTCATTTTCTTCTGCCCTGCCATAAGTAGGGAAGAGAACTGTTCAGGGTTCATTTAATGGTAAACAGATATGTGGTGGGTGGAACATAGAGTAGCTGAATTAGACAAGAGTGGAAAGCAGAAATGTATTATATACTGAAATTAGGAACTACTGTAGATTTTTACCTCAAAAACAATGGTTTAACAATGAAGTTACTAAGTAAATTGTCATCCAAGTGAATCTGTAAGTTAACAAGCTTTTAGCACGTAACATTGTGCCGGGGGAGATTAGAGAAAACATCAAGACACAACCTCTATCTTGCAGAACCTATGACTGGTGGAGGAGAGTATACAAATTGTAACGGACATAATCTGTAAAGCAGTCAAAGTGACATTGCTGGACAGGATGTGATTAAATACCAATTTTTACTAAGTACTGTCAGAGTTCAGATTAAAGGAGACTCATCTGAAGCTGAAATACTTAGGAAGTATGAAGTGCTAGAAGTCAAACTTCGAGGATATCTTTAATAATAGGTAGTATCTAGAGGGAAATACAAAATAGAGTTAAGTGTGGATTTATCTTTAAATACTTTAATCCCCGCCTGGCTAATGCTTTCTTTTTTAAAGGATTGTTCAGTATACAATTTCTTTCTTATAGAAGAGAACCACAATTGCAACAATAAAATTCCTAATAACATAGCTTGAAGTGGGTGGAGGGCAGTTGAAGAGGGGGTGTCCTGGTCTGAGGGAAGAAGAGTGACTTGAGGGTGGGAACAAGCAAGGCAAAGCTAATCTCAAGGGGAGCTGTGCTTTGAACGTGGGAACGTTTAGGATCTCTGTGGGCATGGCTGCCTTTCTTCTTAGAGTGGATGTTATTAAAAAAAAATGACAATGTGTATGTATTTGAGTATTTTACATTTATTGATCTGTAAATCCCTTGGGTAGGTATCTTGTACTTTTCAGTGCACAGTATATCATTTTTTAACTTAATTGGAAAATATTTATTGACTTGATAAAGAGAAGTCTGAACTTTCTAAAAGATGACTTAATTGGTTTATTTCTTTGTAGATCTCTTTTAAAACAAAGTGCTTCTTGAAATATTGCTTCACAGCTGAAGACTATAACCTAGAACCACTCAGAAGTATTTTCCACGTTAGACATTTTTTTGGGGTGGGTCATAAATGCTTAGGTATATATATATGTGTGCTCCAGTTTTTATGCCTGCTTTGTAAAATAAATTTAAACTGATTGAGAATTCCTTAAACTGGAAAACTCTTAGGAAAACCCATTTCAAAAATACATGAATCCCTTTGTCATTTTAAAAGAATAGATTTAGAAGTAAACAAGTCACTCTTAACTGGTATTGAATGCTTAGCTTCTATTAAGTAAAAATAGATTTAGAACATTGTTGAGTGATTAGTCTTAAAATAGAGCATATATTCCTGAGTTTTGATAGATTTAGAACTTAGTGCACATGTCAGTTCTTTCAGGAATAAAGAAAGGTAAGATGGGTAAGGATCAAATGTGAGAGTGTTTGAATCTCAAGATTTTCTGGCTCATGTGTAGTGAAACTCTTTAGCCCTGGGCTTTAATTTGTGCCTGGTGCTGACCTGATGCTGTGCAGGGACATTCCCTGCATCCCCTCATTCAGTCCCTCTAATTATCCCCACTTCCTGGGGAGCTTGCTTAGAACTGGGCAGGAGTGCTTGTCATTAAAATATTGGGCTACCCTGGCTACATGTAACAGGGTAGTTTTGATTTATGTACAGATCAACTGCATAGGAGGCTAAAGTTTGTTTGCTGTGATTTTACCTTATCAAATTGGAAGGGAATATTATGAAAATTACCTGTTTAGGCAGTGGATTGGGCTTGTAATAAATGACATTGTAGTTAATATAGTTCTTGAGTTTATTTGTTGTAGTGTTATTTGGCATTCACAGAGACTTGATTATATAACTATGTGAAGCAATGAGATTAGCAGTTTCGTGTATTTTTGCTCCCTTTGCTGGGAGCATCTGTTAATGCTAAGATTTGTCTCTTCAGGTTCATGTGAAGATGGCGGATGAGGCTGTGTGTGTTGGCCCAGCTCCCACCAGTAAAAGCTACCTCAACATGGATGCCATCATGGAAGCCATTAAGAAAACCAGGGCCCAAGCTGTGAGTCTGAATCAATCTATCTACTGCAGCTGTTTCATATGTAGTGAGCAGAAAGCTAGAGTTGTGTTTAAAAAAAGATAAGAAAGAGTGATTGAAAATGCGGTTGCAGTTAGTTCATGTCACATGAGTTAAATGTGGCCAAATTCACTACTGGAAATCAAAGGCTTTGTAGCATCTGGCAGTGTTGGTTGCTGATCCTGCAGGTGGCTACTGGATTCAGCTTTCACACCAGGGAGCAGTTTCAGTTCATTTCCAAATTTGCAAGGAAAAAAAAAATCCCAATTAGTTTTGAGTATTAACCCTTTCATTGTAATAAGAGCCTTAAAAAAATGAACTGTATTATAGGCAGGAGCCAAAAGACCCTGGTTTAAATTCTGTTTTAATTGTTTGAAAATTATGTACACCTAGTTTGACTTCTGAAAACAAAAACTGTGCAACTGGTAATTATTTTAGTTCGATAATTTAGTTTAATAATGCCACATAACTTACATGGAAAAATCAGTACTTCTAACCACCTCCAGTTCTGTTTGAATGGAGTGGAGTTTAAGGAGAAAACTGCTTTCTGACATTGGGAATAGTGTTTTGTTGTGTGTGTGTATGTATGTGTGTTATATCGAAGAACTAATTACATATAATGTTAAAAACTATGCTGAGCTGTCTCTAAAATTGGATGGAAGCAGCCAACAGCAGCAATTAGCCTGGAGTGCTTCAATTAGTGTTCGCATTTCTTTTGAAAGAAATGTTTTAGTAAGATGCATGTTTAAATAAAAAACTGAATTCATGAACCCATATTATAGATGTTTACAGTTTATTAGCAGAGTTAATGGAGGTAAAACTCTTTTTAACCTTTTAACTGTTGCTTGTCAGAATATAATCTTTAGTTGAATGTTCATATAAAATGAAATTGGTGCAATAAAACTCTTTTCCTGTAATGCAGTAGTTTAAATTATTCTGTGCCATGTTCCTAAAGCTTAGTTCAGCATTTGAAAACCTTGGAAGTGTAGCAACTTCTAGATTATGAAATTCCCTCCTTCATAAATTTGACTTTTCTTATAGCAGAATTGTTTTCCTAGAAATATATTCAGTACTCTGATAATAGAGTGACTAAGCTTATGTTTGGTCAGGGTGGTAGAGTAAAAAATTGCTTGATTAGAATAGGGTGGTAGAATTTAGACTGTAGCAGTGTGGCTTCTGTGAGCAGATAGCATAAAGTTATTTGAATGGCTAAGCGGGGTGAGAGGGAAAGTAGAGTAGATATTAGAAGAAGAAAAACCCAGAGTACAAAGAAAACGTAAAACCAAACTTTGATTTTAGTTAGATTTGACAGAAATTGCTCATTTGGGTCATGGCTGAAAATATTCATGTTGTCAGGAATAAAATGCTAGTTGACTTAGTAGCTGGGGTTTGGAAAGTAGGAGTTCTTGATACTATAAAGAAAGGAGGATTAAGAGTTTTTCATCCCATTTGCAACAAGGTTTCCTCTAACAATTCTTTGACCCACAAGCCATTAGAAAATTATCCAAACTTGTGGCCAAAGTTAGGGTAAGAAAAAGTAGGGAAAGTTTGAGTTGTGTTGAATAGCATAGGCAGATGCAGGCGGCCAGGAAGGCACGCCGGGTGATGGCCCTGATTGCGGTTTGGACAGGAGTGTGCTGCACGCACGGGAACACAAAATAGGCAGCTTCGTGGAATTTGGGTCTGTGTTCAGGAATATGAGTGGGAGCTAATCAGTATGTAAGAGAAGGCCCCTTATTCAGGGGCCCGCGAATAATGAACACATTAATGCACTCTCTAGTTTACTTATAAAAAAATGTTTTGTAATATGGTAAAATTTTAAGTGTTTTTTTTTGTTTGTTTGTTTTCATTTCTAAGGTACATCCAGGTTATGGATTCCTTTCAGAAAACAAAGAATTTGCCAGATGTTTGGTAAGTTTGTAATGAACTTTTTACTTATGTATCAAAACTATTAACTTATGTATCAAAAAATAAAGCAATGTAATGGTATTGTTTTTGTAAATGTGGGTAGTGCTGAATTACAGAATCTTAACTGACCCAACAAATTCTTTGAAAATAGTTTGTGATGAGTGAAGTTTTTATTTTGTAACCCAACTTCTGGTTTGAAGAGTAAAATTGGAAAAGTTATAAAAGCATCACTACTTAATGTAAAAATTAAGCTTTACGCCTAACGAGTGACACCTAGTTTATTATATATTTCATGGACTTTTACTTTTAAAATTAAAAACTTCAGATATTTAAATATGTCAGGGAATCCAGTGATTTATTATTTATTATAAATATGAGCATGGAAATCTGAAGCCAGAAGTAAGATTCTATTTTTTTTCCTTTTATTGTATATTTTGGCCTTTAAGACCAATTCTTACTGCCTTCTCTATTTTGGGAAAAGATTTCTTTATGATCTGAGTCTCCTTCTGATATCACCATCTTGATTAGCAGGTTTAGTAGCAAGCCTGTATTTGTTATTAAACTGAGTTTGCAGGTATATTTATAACTATATTCAAGATGGTTCTGAACCTTAGTTTTCAGGTACTAAAATGATTTTGAATAATACTTCAAAAAGCTTATTAGATACAAGTATCCCAGGTATTAAATTATCTTAATTTATTATACTAATAGGCTATATTTTGCTTCTATTTTGTTCTTTCATGGATTCATATTTATTTATGAATATAATCACCATTTTGTAGATAAAATTTCCACTTAAAATTCATCCACTTAATTTGGACAATTCTTAAAATCATAGAGTTCTAGCTTAGAATTACCTATGTTAATCAATTTACTTTATAGATTAAAGGCCTAAAGATTAAGGCCTAAAGAATTTGTGACTTCAGGTCACACAAATGGCTAATAGAAACAAGTATCTGAAGAGGGCAAAATTAGGTGGAAGTACCAAAGGTTCAGATTTACTAAGATTAGTCACATTTTCCTGTTTATACTCCTTTTTATTATCTTCTTGTTTGAAATTTTGTCTGAGGTTCTGTCATTATATAAGAAAGTAATTTGAGTACAAAACGTTTCAATGTACTTGTACAATATAATGTATTAGATTTAAGTTTGTATAGATGAGAAGTCTATAAACTGTGGTTTACTGGCTAAATGCAGCTTACTGCCTGTTTCTGGAAATTAAGTTTTCTTGGCACACAGCCACGCTCATTCATTGATTTGTTGTCTCTGGCTGCTTTAGCTATAGCTATACCAGAGAGCAAATGGCCTGCAAAGCCTAAAATATTTACTCCATGGCCCTTGGTAAAAAGTTTGCCAACTCATCTTACTACATTGATGGATAGTGACTGCAATGGGGTGTGGGGGGGACTGGATAATATGGGTGAATGTAGTAATCACATTGTTTTCTTTTTTCTTTTTAAGTTTTTTATTAAGGTATTATTGATATACACTCCTGTGAAGGTTTCACATGAAAAAACAATGTGGTTACTACATTCACCCATATTATCAAGTCCCCCTCATACCCCATTGCAGGCACTGTCCATCAGTGTAGTAAGATGCCACAGATCCACTATGTGCCTTCTCTATGCTACACTGTTTTCCCCAAGATCCCCCACACCATGTGTACTAAACATAATACTCCTCAATCCCCTTCTCCCTCCCTCCCCAGCCGCCCTCCCACACCCCTCTCCTTTGGTAACCACTGGTTCTTTCTTGGAGTCTTTGAGTCTGCTGCCATTTTGTTCCTTCAGTTTTGCTTCGTTATACTCCACGAATGAGGGAAATCATTTGGCACTTGTCTTTCTCCACCTGGCTTATTTCACAGAGCATAATGTCCTCCAGCTCCATCCATGTTGTTGCAAATGGTAGGATTTCTTTCTTTCTTATGGCTGAATAGTATTCCATTGTATATGTGCCGTATCTTCTTTATCCATTCATCTACTGATGGACATTTTGGTTGCTTCCATATCTGGGCTATTGTAAAAACTGCTTCAATAAATAGAGGGGTGCATATGTCTTTTTGAATCTGAGAAGTTATATTCTTTGGGTAAATTCCAAGGAGTGGGATTCCCAGGTCAAATGGTATTTCTATTTTTAGTTTTTTGAGGAACCTCCATATTGCTTTCCACAATGATTGATCTAGCTTACATTCCCACCAGCAGTGTAGGAGGGTTCCCATTCTCCGCATCCTCGCCAGCATTTGTTGTTTTTAGTCTTTTTGATGCTGGCCATCCTAACTGATGTGAGGTGATATCTCACTGTGGTTTTAATTTGCATTTCCCTGATGATTAGTGATGTGGAGCATCTTTTCATGTGCCTGTTGGCCATCTGAATTTCTTCTTTGGAGAATTGTCTCTTCATTTCCTCTGCCCATTTTTTAATTGGATTATTTCTTTTTGGGTGTTGATGCGTGTGAGTTCTTTATATATTTTGGATGGTAACCCCTTGTCGGATATGTCATTTACAAATATGTTCTCCCATACTGTAGTATGCCTTTTCCTGTTGATGGTGTCCTTTGCCGTACAGGAACTTCTTAGTTTGATGAAGTCCCGTGTGTTCATTTTTGCTTCTGTATCCCTTGCTTGAGGAGATGCATTCAGGAAGAAGTTGCTCATGCTTATATTCAGGAGATTTTTGCCTGTGTTGTCTTCTAAGAGTTTTATGTTTTCATGACTTACATTCAGGTCTTTGATCCATTTTGAGTTTACTTTTGTGTTGTGTATAGGGTTAAACGATAATCCAGTTTCATTCTCTTGCATGTAGCTGTCCAGTTTTGCCAACACCAGCTGTTGAAGAGGCTGTCATTTCCCCATTATATGTCCATGGCTCTTTTATCATATATTAATTGACCATATATGATTGGGTTTGTATCTGGGCTCTCTAGTCTGTTCCATTGGTCTTTCATTGTTACTGTGCCAGTACCAAATTGTCTTGATTACTGTGGCTTTGTAGTAGAGCTTGAAATTGGGGAGCATAATCCCCCCAGCTTTATTCTTCCTTCTCAGGATTGCTTTGGTTATTCGAGGTCTTTTGTGGTTCCAGGTGAATTTTAGAATGATTTTCTCTAGTTCATTGAAGAAGGCTGTTGGTATTTTGAAAGGAATTGCATTGAATCTGTAGATTGCTCTAGGCAGGATGGCCATTTTGACAATATTAATTCTTCCTACCCATGAGCACGGGATGTGTTTCCATTTATTGGTATCTTCTTTAATTTCTCTCATGAGTGTCTTGTATTTTCAGAGTATAGATCTTTCACTTCCTTGGTTAGGTTTATTCCTAGGTATTTTATTCTTTTTGATGCAACTGTGAATGGAATTGTTTTCCTGATTTCCCTCTCTGCTAGTTCATTGTTAGTGTGTAGGAATGCCACAGATTTCTGCATATTAATTTTGTATCCTGCAACTTTGCTGAATTCAGATATTAGGATATAGTAATTTTAGAGTGGATTCTTTAAGGTTTGTTATGTATAATATCATGTCATCGGCAAACAGGGACAGTTTAACTTCTTCCTTGCCAATTTGGATGCCTTTTATTTCTTTGTGTTGTTTGATTGCCGGTAACCACATTGTTTTTCATGTGAAACCTTCATAAGAGTATATCAATAATACCTTAATAAAAATAAAAGTTTGCCAACTCTTGGTGTAGCTGAGTATTTGAGTTCCAGAAAAGTTAATGATATGCCAGTATATGCATTCATCCATTTATTTGTCATTAAAAAAATGCTTATTTGCAAAACAGAAGGAACAAATTAGCAGTAGACTCATAGACACTGAGAAGTGACTGGTGGTTACCAAGGGGGAGGGGTTGGGGTAGGTGTGAGGGAGGGTAAAGGGATAAAGGGGCAGAATAATTCTCAATCACAATAAAAGTTGGTCATGAGGACAGTAGTACAGCATGGAGAATATAGTCAGTGATTCTATAATATCCTACTACTTCGATAGATAGTTACTACACTAGAGCAGGTGAGGATTTAATAATATGGGTAACTGTTGAACCACTATGTTGTATATTTGAAACCAATATAAGATTATATATCAACAATACTTTAATAAAAAAGAAAAAAGGAAAAAAATGATTATTTGGTATCTGTTCAAGCATTTGAGAAGGATAAAAAAATCAATCAGAGGTGGGGCCTGCTCATGAGGAGCTCATAGTCATGTTGTGGAAGATAAGTCAACTACACAAATGACTTCAGCTCAGGGAAGAAAATGTTTCAAAGTTCAGATATCTTGTAAGTGAAAATTAGAAAGATTATCTCCATCAGGGGTTTCATGTTAGAGAAGAGTATAGAATGTATGGCTAACTTCGTTTCTCACTAATTTTCTTTTCTAATCTTTTCTCCTCCCATTTTCCTTTACCAAAGCAGTGCCTGAAATACGCCAGGCTTAACCACTAGGCTTAACATGGCTGGTCTTTCCTGGTCCATCCTTTTCATCACTTTCCCGAGTGGGCACACTTCGTCTCTTGTCCCACATTTCTAAGTCCTTTCAATCCTCACATGTTACTTCTACCAGGATAGTTTTTCATATCCTTCTGGTGAGAAGTAATGTCTTTCCTCTGTCTTCTAGAGACTTAAAATTTTTTTTTATATTTCTTATTTGGCATTCTAATTTCCATATTATGTTAAAATTGTATTTTAATTTACAATTAAAACTATTTTAATCTCTTTTGAGACAAGAGACTTGATCTTATCAGAGTTTGTTTCCCTTTTGCTTTCTATCCTAATGATTTCTACATGAATGCTATGAAAGCATTAATCATTAGATTAAGAATTATGGAAAAATAAACTTCCAGAAAATCCTGTCACAAAAAAGACTGTTTTGTAACTAGAAGGCAGTATTGCAGTGTATTTTTGTTTACTATGAAAATATGCAACTAGGGATAATTCTTGTTTTTTTGTGCATAATGACAAGATTCTTATTTAGGATGTAATTTATTAGTATTAAAATCTTTTCCTGTTGGAG